TATCTCTCTCTAATCGAGTTTCCTCCTATTCACAATTGGGATTGCAATGGAAGTGATCTCCCTAACATTGATACTTTTCTCCGAAACAGGGTCCACAATAGTGATTGTTACGTACGCTTAAGCCAACTGCTCATTGGCATTGCATTACATGTGGTTTAAACGATAAGTTTTTCTTATAAGTGTATTTCAAAACGCATTTAAGGAGCGAAAGCGTCTATGATAGTTTTACGTTTTGAAAAACACGCGTTGTAATACAAACGGTATCTGACGGTTACGAGTACTGTAATTGATTCATTACTTATTCAATCTTTGCACATTTTCCAAATTCCAATCTAAATTTCTCATCTATGTCGCTGGTATAAAGGTAGCGTGTGAAAACAGTAGATGAGAGGTTGATGATTCGACCATGTACATTGACTCAATGTGCCACCTAGCAATGAAGCGAGCCGACTTTTGCGGGATCGATTGTTAGTCTTAGAGAAGATAATATGCAGATTCTAACAAATACGTTAATAATACATACACACTAACATCACCAGTTTAGAAAGCTCTGCAATCAAGCGATATCTCCTGTTGGAACCAGTTTTGGATGATAAAGGGGGCATATCTGCCTCACTTTCCAAGACAATAAGGTGAGGTGAGGTGAAATGGGGTTTAACGTCGCGTCCAAGATTATTGCACTTATATAGCGACGTGCATGCACGTGTGTGTGTTTGTGTGGCTGCTGGTACTAGTCCGGACTGATGCCGATTTATAGTGCTAGCTCACTGAGATACCATGCCGCAGTTTAACATGAATACCCCACTCAGACACAGTATACTGACTCCGAGCCGACCAGTCCTTGCTTTAGACCCTCAATGCCGAGCGCCAGACAGGGTAACAACAAGTACCATCTTTTAACGTCTTTTTGTATGACGCGGATCGAACCCTGGACCTTCCGCTCTCCGGGCGGATGCTCTACCACTAGACCACGGAGGCGGTCCCAAGACAATAAGGTGTGACGCTTGCAGAATAATTGCAGTCCACAACCGGTCTGGAACTGGTCAAGTCGCCAAGCAAGAATCTCTGACGTCAACATTGGTGTCACGTCATTGTTTATTGTGCCCTCGTAAGTTATGTCGTCATATACATACTACGTCAAGAATAGGCTGACGTCATAGACAATCAGTCCTTCTGCAGTGTACGCGGCTAGTGGATGTGTAACAGTTGCCTTTGGAGTGTACCACAATAGCATTTTGTGTGCAACAGATGATGTATCCTTGGGTAATACTATTAAACATTTCCGATAATTATTATGTATAATTTACTGTACTTGGCAATATCTGTACTTTTGTCAGCAAAGAAAGTTCTCACTATGTTCAACCTATTTTCCTCTGAAGAGGGAGAGTGTTATATGGCAGTGTAATTTATAGTTAAGCAATGATTGTAACTGTATTACATTTTTTCTGTTGAGATTCAGTGGATGTTCTTTGCATTGTATTTGGACAATGATTTAGTCGTCAGGAATGTAGTACAATTAATTGTAAGCAGCGGCGAGTAAGCTATTATATTTAGATGCTCCATAAACGTCCGGAATAGCATGGGTGGATGCCAAGCCTTATAGAAACATGTGAAATATTCTGTGATGTTAAAGTGACACTGGACTGGTCTGGCACTGTGTAGAAAGTGTTGGAAGTTGGTTTGACTATTGAAGTGGAGCGGGCGCATCCCTGTCTCACCTCACATCTCACCTCACAGCTTTCGTGTGCAGATCACTTTTCACCCTAGTGTTCAGCCTAGGCTTATCTCGGAAGCTTGACCACTGTTGCCGCGAGGTGGTTATTATTCTGTCATTGTCATTTCCACTCCTCTCACATTTTATACTTCCATTTCATACTGCCATTTTGTAATTGCTGTGCAATAATTTGTATTGATTTGTAAACCTAGTTAATTATGTAATACAATTGTTGATTGTATACCATGTGTCAGTTGTTTGTTGGTTTCCCATTCAATTCTTTTACGTACAGATTTCTGAGTTGACATATTGTTTCAATTTTTTCAACATGTGACAAAACACCGTCAACGTGGAAGAAAGTTGTAGGTGGAAGAATGTAAGTGGTTCATTGTGACTCTAATGTTCACATCAATGTATTGCACAACCGCTGATCATACAACTGATTTCAAAAACTCGGATGTGAATTGCCATCACTCATATTGCTGGCCTATTTCCGTGAGTTTCCAGGTATGTTTTTGAATTTGATAGTATTGTCTTTCCCCACACAACCTCTCCTGCTATTCAGCCATCCCTATCATATATGCTGTCTCTCTTTCTATATCCTACACCCAACGCCCTACGCCCTACGCAACACATCCTACACCCTACACCCTACTCCCTATACCCAACACCCTACACCCCACATCCTACACTCAATACCCCACACTCTAAACTTTAAACCCTATACCCTACACCCTGTACCCTAAACCCTACACCATGTACCCTATACTCTTTATTCTACACATTATACCCTAAACTCTACACCCTACACTCTATATTCTACACCCTACACCCTACACCCTAAACTCTACACCCTACACCCTATACTCTACAACCTACACCCTATACCCTTTACTCTACACCCTGTACCCTACACCCTACACCCTGTTCCCTATACCTATTAATTTATACCCTTAAGCCTTTACTCTACACCATATACCCTGAACCCTGTACCCTACACTCTGTACCCTGTACCCTAAACCCTACACCCTGCACCCTATAGCCTTTACCCTATACCCTTTACCCTATACCCTTTACTCTACACCCTATACCCTTTACCCTATACTCTTTACTCTACACCTTATACCCTTAACCCTATACTCTTTACTCTACACCTTATACCCTTAACCCTATACTCTTTACTCTACACCCTTTACTCTACACCCTTTACCCTTTACCCTATACTCTTTACTCTACACCTTATACCCTTAACCCTTTACTCTTTACTCTACACCTTATACCCTTAACCCTATACTCTTTACTCTACACCCTTTACTCTACACCCTTTACCCTGTACCCTTTACTCTGAGCCCTGTATCCTACACTCTGTACCCTGTACCCTAAACCCTACACCCTAAACCCTATAACCTATACCCTATACAATTTACCCTATACCCTTTACTCTACACCCTATACCCTTTACCCTATACTCTTTACTCTACACAATTTACTCTACACCCTATACCCTTTACTCTGCACCCTATACCCTATACACTACATCCTATACCCTTTACCCTATACCCTTTACTCCACACCCTATACCCTTTACCCTATACTCTTCACTCTACACCATTTACTCTACACCCTATACCCTTTACTCTACACCCTTTAGCCTTTAAACTATACCCTTTACTCTGCACCCTATACCCTATACCCTATACTCTACACCCTATACCCTTTAAACTATACCCTTTACTGTACACCCTATACTCTGGACCCTATACCCTTTACCCTTTACTCTACACCCTATACCCTTTACCCTGCACCCGGGACGGTAGCCTATTGATTAAAGCGTTCGATCGTCTCGCCGAAGACCCGGGTTCGAATCCCGACATAGGTACAATGTGTGAAGCCCATTTCTGGCGTCCCCCGCCGTGATATTGCTGGAATAGTGCTAAAAGCGGCGTAAAACAATACTCACACATTTATTCATTACCCTGTACCCTTTACTCTACACCCTATACCCTTTACCCTATGCCCTTTACCCTACACCCTTTACTCTACACCCTATCCCCTTTACCTATACCCTTTACACCCTATACCCTTTACCCTTTACCCTATACACTACACCCTATACCCTTTACTCTACACCCTATACCCTTTACCCTATACTCTTTACTCTACACAATTTACTCTACACCCTATACCCTTTACCCTGCACCCTATACCCAATACACTACATCCTATACCCTTTACCCTATACCCTTTACTCCACACCCTATACCCTTTACCCTATACTCTTCACTCTACACCATTTACTCTACACCCTATACCCTTTACTCTACACCCTTTAGCCTTTAAACTATACCCTTTACTCTGCACCCTATACCCTATACCCTATACTCTACACCCTATACCCTTTAAACTATACCCTTTACTGTACACCCTATACTCTGGACCCTATACCCTTTACCCTTTACTCTACACCCTATACCCTTTACCCTGCACCCGGGACGGGACTCATTACCCTGTACCCTTTACTGTACACCCTATACCCTTTACCCTATGCCCTTTACCCTACACCCTTTACTCTACACCCTATCCCCTTTACCTATACCCTTTACACCCTATACCCTTTACCCTTTACCCTATACTCTACACCTTATACCCTGTACCCTGTACCCTTTACCCTACACCCTATACTCTATACTCTACACCCTATACCCTATACCCTACACCCTATACCCTTTACCCTATACCTTTTACACCCTATACCCTATACTCTACACCCTATACCCTTTACCCTATACCCTTTACACCCTATACCCTATACTCTACACCCTATACCCTTTACCCTACACCCTTTACTCTACACCGTCTACCCTATACTCTATACCCTATACCCTGTACCCTTTACTCTACACCCTATACCCTTTACCCTTAACACTACACCCTATACCCTTTACCCTTTACTCTACACCCTATACCCTTTACTCTACAACCTATACCCTTTACTCTATACCCTTTACTCTACACCCTATACCCTATACCCTTTACCCTACACCTTATACCCTATACTCTACACCATATGCCCTTTACCCTCTCCCCTTTAATGTAAACCCTATGCTCTATACCCTATACCCTATACCCTATATTTAACAACATAAACCATGTGACAGTTTCCGACTTTATGCGTGTATGACACACACACCAACTAATCTGAGTGTTGTTCAGCTGTGGGATGGGTCCCACTTGTCACTAATACAGTTTCATACAACTTCCCTTCATCGCATAATAGAGTTCTATAGTGGGTGTCAAATATAGATGCTGGCAAACTGCCAGTATACAAGTCCTGTTACTTCCTGGTTATGTCAGTCACAACATACCGTTGTATCTGAGCTGCTTGACACAGGACATGGTTGTACATGCACTCAATTGATAGGTCTTGTAGCTCCTGTAATTCACTATCTGGTGTCACCACGGAGCATGATATAGGCTATACCTGCAACGTGTAAGGTAGGTGAGATTGACATTTAGTCATGTCATGTGCAAGGTGGTTGATATAGACACATAATCATGTCCCGTGTACGGTAGGTGAGATTGACATTTAGTCATGTCACGTGTAAGGTGGGTGATATTGACACATAATTATGTCAGATGCAAAGTAGACGAGACTGACATTATAAGTGTCCACGGTCTCTAGGGACACACATGTTACCCTCGATGTAAATTTCCCTCGGGGGACCGTTGGACAACGGATTCATCTATCCGCACACCTAATTATATTGCAGGTATGTCTATTGCATGCTTTGGTAGGAATACCACAGTTGCATACGACAGATCAGTGCGTCTATTTATTTTCGAAAATATCTCCAAATATCCTGAGAATTGCGCCTCATAAATTAATTCGAGATACAAAACAGTTAACAGTTCGTTAATTCGAGGGGTAAACATAAGAAATATACCTTACATACTTGACAGAATAATATAACGGGTCTCAGCCAATAATCCGACCTTCATTTGCCAGGTAAGATAAATCATCATGTCACGAGTAAGGTATGCGAGACTAATATATAAACATGCTAAGTGCGTTGTTAGTGCTGCACAACCGCTGATCATACAACTGATTTCAAAAACTCGGGTGTGAATTTCTCCACACCCTTTACTTTATACCAAACACCCTAAACCCCACACCCTACACGCCACACCCTTAACCCTATACCACACACCCTTAATGATATACCACACACCCTATACCCTATACCACACACCCTATACCTTATACCACACAAACTATACCCTACAGCCCACATCCTACACTCCACACCCTTAACCCTATACCACACACCCTATACCTTATATCACACACACTATACCCTACACTCCACATCCTACACTCCACACCCTTAACCCTATATCACACACCCTATACCTTATACCACACACACTATACCCTACAGCCCACATCCTACACTCCACACCCTTAACCCTATACCACACACCCTATACTTTAAACCACACAAACTATACCCTACAGCCCACATCCTACACTCCACACCCTTAACCCTATACCACACACCCTATACCTTATACCACACACACTATACCCTACAGCCCACACCCTACACTCCACACCCTTAACCCTATACCACACACCCTATACCTTATACCACACACACTATACCCTACAGCCCACATCCTACACTCCACACCCTTAACCCTATACCACACACCCTATACCTTATACCACACACGCTATACCTTATACCACACACACTATACCCTACAGCCCACATCCTACACTCCACACCCTTAACCCAATACCACACACCCTATACCCTACACCACACACACTACACCCTAAACCCCACATCCTACACTCCACATCCTTACTCCTATACCAAACACCCTTTACCCTATACAACACACACTACACGTTACAGCCCACACCCTCCACTCAATACCCTTAACCCTATACCACATACCCTATACCTTATACCACACACCCTATACCCTACACCACACACACTACACCCTACAGCCCACACCCTACACTCCACACCCTTAACCCTATACCACACACCCTATACCTTATACCACACGCGCTATACCTTATACCACACACACTACACCCTAAACCCCACATCCTACACTCCACACCCTTACTCCTATACCAAACACCCTATACCCTATACAACACACACTACACGTTACAGCCCACACCCTCCACTCAACACCCTTAACCCTATACCACACACCCTTTACCCTACACCACACACACTACACCCTACAGCCCACACCCTACACTCCACACCCTTAACCCCATACCACTCGCCCTATACCTTATACCACACACCCTATACCCTTCACCACACACACTACACCCTACAGCCCTCATCCTACACTCCACACCCTTAACCCTATACCACACACCCTATACCCTTCACCACACACACTACACCCTACAGCCCTCATCCTACACTCCACACCCTTAACCCTATACAACACACCCTATACCCTACACCACACACACTACACCCTACAGCCCACACCCTACACTCCACACCCTTAACCCTATACCACACACCCTATACCTTATACCACACACACTATACCCTACAGCCCTCATCCTACACTCCATACCCTTAACCCAATACCACACACCCTATACCCTATACCACACACCCTATACCCTATATCACACATCCTATACCCTATACCACACACCCTATACCCTATATCGCACATCCAATACCCTATATCACAAACCCTATACCCTACACCACACACACTACACCCTAAACCCCACATCCTACACTCCACACCCTTAACCCTATACCACACACCCTATACCCTAAACTACACACACTACACCCTACAGCCCACACCCTACACTCCACACCCTTAACCCTATACAACACACCCTATACTCTATACCACACACACTACAACCTACAGCCTATATGAAACATTCTACACCCTATACCCTACATCCTACACTCTACACCCTATACCCTACACCGACATCCTATATCCTACGCCCTATTCCCTACACCCTATACCACACACCCTATACCCTATACCACACACACTACAACCTACAGCCTATTTGAAACATTCTACACCCTATACCCTACAACCTCTACCCTACATCCTACACTCTACACCCTATTCCCTACACCCTGTACTCTACACCCTTCAAGTTACACCGTGAAGATCCGGGTTAGAATAGGTCTTCAACATCCCGTGCTTGCCGTAAAAGGCGACTATGCTTGTCGTAAGAGGCGAATAACGAGATCGGTTGGTCAGGCTCGCTAACTTGGTTGATGCATGTCGTCGATCCCAATTGCGTGGATTGATGCTCATGATATCAATCAGAGGATTGTCTGGACCGCCGTCATATGCGGCGTTAAAAACAAACACCCTACACCTTACATCCTACATCCTACATCCTACACCTACACCCTACACCCTACACTCTGCACCCTAGACCCTATACCCTATACTTTACACCCTAAACCCTACACCCTACACTCTATATCCTACACCCTATACCCTACACCCTACCTCCTACACCTTATATCCTACATCCTACATCCTACACCTACACCCTACACCCTACACCCTACACTCTGCACCCTAGACCCTATACCCTATACTTTACACCCTACACCCTACACTCTATATCCTACACCCTATACCCTACACCCTACCTCCTACACCTTATATCCTATACCCTACACCTAACATCCTACATCATACACCCTATACGTACATCCTACATCCTACTCCTACACCCTATACTTTACACCCTATGCCCTTCACTCTATACCCTACACTCTATACCCTACACCCTATACTCTACACCCTATACCCTTCACTCTGTACCCTACACACTAAAACCCTATACCCTACACCTACACCCTACTCACTACACCCTGTACCCTACACCCTGTACCCTACACCTACACCCTGTACCCTACACCTACACCCTACACCCTGTACCCTACACCTACACCCTACACCCTGTACCCTACACCCTATGCCTACAGCTTACACCTACACCCTACTCACTGCACCCTACACCTACTGCCCACAGCCTATACCCTACACCCTATATACCTTAAACATAGAAATATACCTTACATAATACATGACAGAATAATAGAATGGGTCTCAGCCAATCAGAATCCGAATTTCATTTGTAAGGCACATTTTCATCATGTCACGAGTAAGGTATGCGAGACTGACATATAAGCATGCCCAATGCATTTCAGTGCGTTATGTATGTTACAATCAATGTGTAGATTCGGTCAATTTGTAAAATGTGATTCACTTTAGTAATTTACAAAAAGCCGAAATATTTCAGTCATTTCAAAAACTGACTGCGATTGACTTAAATTATTAAAAGGACGGAACATTAAAATAGACCAATCATGCTAGGATTAGAACTATCTATTGAACTTTTTTCTTTTAATCCCATCCCTATCAGCCAGTGAGTGATTAAATTCAACGTGTTTGGGATTCGCTATCACAAAATAATTGGACAGATTCTTCAGTTAATTTGTAAATTTACTGTAACATATATACACGCGGTATGGCTGTCGCCCTCTTTAGAGACATGGTATCAATTTGTATTAAAAAGGCAATGGTATATCTGCTGTATCTTATTCTATTCACAACTGACGGCATTGTATGGGCTGGCGGAAGAGTTCCTAGCAGAGTACACCGATGATCGATTTTCCCAGATGACCTTAATGTCCTTCCCGTTAAGTTCCGGGTTGGAATAAGTCTTCAGCTTCCCACACTTGTCATAGGACGCGACTAGAGGGATAGGATGGTCAGACACGATTCATGAGCTCATCATATCCCAATTGCGTGGATCGATGCTCATGATAACAATCAATGGATTATCTGGCCCAGATTCGATTAATTTCAGACCGCCGTCATATAGCTGGAATATTGCTGAGTGCGACGTTAATCAATAAACAAACAAACGTTTAATGTCCCAAGAACATTAAGTTGTATATGTGTATCAAAATATATTGTTCATACATGTGTTACACCCAATCTGAGCAACTGCACATTGCATAACTTGGATCACGTGTATCATTCATTCAGTGGATTGATATCAAAACAATATACTGTATGTCAATTATACATAACCCAACACATGCGTGCAAGCAGAAAATACAATTTTGTGAGTAGATATAGCTGGGCGAATATCATTGTTAAGTAATTTCTTTTTAAAAATAATGGTTGTTCGCATTTGTTTGGTGCCCATTAAAGTCTATATTTGGTCCGACGTATTATTTCCAAGCCGGATTTTATTTCTGTTTTACAGTAGTTAAGACATCATATAAATAGTAACTTATGATTTAATGTTGATGTGTGTGAAAACAATTCAGTGAACTGATCTTTGTAAAATAACTCGGGGAATAGATCCTTATAAAATAACTTTGTCCTTTTCACTCTTGAATAAGATTTAAACTGATACACGTCACTGTCGATTGCATGCATTGGTCAAGCCGTATTGGCCATTGCATGCATTGGGCAGTTGCACAGAAAGGGTGTAACACACGCAGTGAATCAACGGATTGGATACGATGCAAATGCGTTATGTAACTTATATATTGACAGATCACCTTGACCTATATACCTTCTGTCAATACACACAGTGTGTTATCAAGCTTATCTTGTTCTAAAATTGATACAGACGCTAAGGTAAACATGTGCTTTTTTCAGGTTTGTTTGTAAACGTGTCCAACTGCTTTTTGTAAAGTAAACAGACGCCCATGTGATTGAGGGCATACCTCCTCTACTGGCACAGTCTACACTTCCATAGACAAGACATACCGATCTGATTATGGAGAAGGAAAGGGGTGAGTAGTGTCAAAAGGCTATTGTGGAATCCTGAGGCGCCTCAAGGACGCAGCTCTGTATGGTCAATTATTACAAACGGTATTTTTCTGGCGGAATCCGTGTGGCAACATGGCTACTGTTTTCCTGTAGTGTAACTTAAGTGCAGGAGCACGGGTGTTGAATTCGTCGTGCAGAGTTGCGTCCCTTGGGCACGCCAGGAATTATGATTGTGGGTTTGAATCCCGGTTCGCCCTGATTCCGTTTCTAGGTTTGTCAGCACAATACCCGTGCTCGTGGCCTTCACCAAAGTGGTAAAAGTCTTAGACCTGGGCACCGTTCCACAAAGCGATCTTAGCGCTAAGTCGGTCGTAACTCCCATTCTTAAACACTGACTTACGACAGTCGTAGCCCTAAGATCGCTTTGTGTTTTCCTCTCATATTTAGCTGACACGCCGTGATATAACGGACATACAATTCAATGCGGCGTTAAACCAGCTGACTGACATATCTATTTAGTCGAACATCTGTTTGTTCTACGACAAGCGGGTTGATTTCCTCAGTTTCACAAACTTGTGAACAAGGTCGTGATTTCCTTGTCTGCAGCCTTATCCTGAGGATGATTTTTTTTCATGTCCATAAATACAGGTCATCTGGTAAGAGGCGACTAACGGGGTCGGGTGGTCAGGCTCGCTGACTTAGTTGATGCATGTCATCCACCCAATTGCGTGGATCGATGCTTATGATGTCAATCACTGGATTGTCTGGTCCAGACTTGATTAATTTCAGACCGCCGTCATATAGCTGGCATATTGCTGAGTGCGGCGTTAAAAAACAAACAAACAAAACGTACAGGTCATCATGGTTCATAGACTATCACCGATGCATAGACTGTCCTGCCACCTGATAGAAGATACACTAGTGTTCCCATAAGATCATTCGTCACAACTCGCCCCTTTCCGTAACCAGCGAAAATACGACAAACCAATCAGAATGCGCGTATGACTTCAAGTTCTTCGTCAAAGAATCCCTCAGAAATAATTTTTAATTTTATATATGTCTTGCATCTTAAAATATACCCAAGACACAGTTAAATGTGTTCAATCATACTGTATAATTCCGCATGTCCCGATGTGCTGTAACTTGCATCTGAAATATATATAATATATGGGGAAATATATGTGAACCATCACGCAACGAGTTGACAATCGTTTTAGGTATGCCCGTTTGCGCTAAGACGGAACCCGGTCGCAAAAATGGCCATGAGAGGGGCACGAGTCGCTATTCGGCTTGTCCCGGAATAACACGAGTTGGTCACGAATGCCCATAAGATTTGCAACGTCAAACAAGAGTAAGTGAGTGAGTTGGGTTTAACGCCGCTTTTAACAATATTCCAGTTATATCGCGGCGTGTCAGCTTAATGTGGGAGGAAAGCCCGAAGTGATGCAGGTCTCGGACGTTTACCACTTCGGTGAAATCCACCCTTGCGCCCTCAAACAAGAGACCCAAATGTACTGATATATAGAGATAAGGACACGAGTGTCTGTCAGATATATGTCAGGCACCAGTGCAGTAATCTGTTTTTGACGCACCCTAACATCACACCTTTTGAGCATCGAATCGATGTGTATTTTGTCTATTCTCGTGATCACAGTGGTGCAGTGACACATAACAGTCATGAGTGAGTATGTATTTACGCCGCTTAGCAATATTCCAGCAATATCACGGCGGGGGACACCAAATATGGGCTTCACACATTGTAACCATGTCGGGAATCGAACCCGGGTCTTCGGCGTGCCGAGCGAACGCTTTAACCACTAGGCTACCCGACCGCCCCCATAACGATTACCCGGCTTACTGCTTACTGGTCATACCTAGAGCGCGTTGCAAGTCACGAATCGCATAGAGTAAGCAAATTAATCGTTTATACTGGGGTCGGCAACAGCTCGAAGCGCTGGTGCACTCTTCCAAACTGGCGGCGATACTACCGAATGCCCTAATGAAGAACCTAAAAGAAGAGGTTTGATGACTATCGGATGCATTTAAGACTACTTTGAAGATGTAGACCGCCTCCGTGGTCTTGTGGTAGAGCGTCCGCCCGGAGAGCGGAAGGTCCAGGGTTCGATCCCGGGCCGCGTCATACAAAAAGACGTTAAAAGATTGTACTTGTTGTTACCCTGTCTGGCGCTCGGCATTAAGGGGCTAAAACAAGGACTGGTCGGCTCGGAGTCAGTATACTGTGTCTGAGTGGGGTATTCATGTTAAACTGCGGCATGGTATCTCAGTGAGCTAGCACTATAAATCGGCATCAGTCCGGACTAGTACAAGCAGCCACACACACACATACACGTGCATGCACGTCGCTATATAAGTGCAATAATCTTGGACGCGACGTTAAACCCACATTTCACCTCACCTCACCTCACTTTGAAGATGTGGAGCAGACTGAGGATGGTGCGATGTGAGCTGCCTTTGCCAATTTCCAAGTTGATCCACTCAAGAATTTCTTATTCCGTTGCCAAACTCAGCCACCATTTTGGTTTGAAAACGAGGCGACCTCAGCCAGCGATTGTTGCGCTTGCAACTTAGCGCGCCGTTGTGAGGAGAACCGCTGTACATACATCGCTTGCAAGCGACTCGCGCTTTGCAACGCAGCCCTAGTGTGACCCTACCCAACTATCTGTCACGTTTGTTGACCATCAATGGGATGGTGGTCAAGCAAACTAGATAAGATCAAAGATCATTTGTTACATTTGACCACTTTCTAAATGGCATTGTGTATTCATAGCTTTCGGCCATGGGAGCAAAACCAATTTACACTTGTCAGAGGGGTACATAAAGTACGTGATCTAGACAATCACTTTTAGTTTTTTGGAAGCCTCGGTGGCTGAGTTGGTTAGATCGCTGAAATTCTGGTGTCCCCCGCCGTGATATTGCTAAAAGCGGCGTAAAACCACACTGACTCACTCACTCACTAGATCGCAGAATTTGTGTGCTGGCGATTAGGTGCCTCAGTCTGGCAGTGTGGGTTCTAATCCCGGATGGGAAATAACCCCAAAAGGTACCAGAATTTGTACTCTACTAAGAAAGCGTCATCCCAAAAATAAAATTTGTTACAAGACCAAAGAACATTTATTAACATTCTAAGACAATGACGTTGGTGAATTCGACTGAAGTACCTATCAATGAATAGCAATCAGGAAAGCAGTGCGTCATTTTCTGAACATAGGCTGTCACCATCGAGTGGCCGATCAAGGACCTGGAATTAGAACCACATGTGTGAAAGAAATACAAAATTAGTTCTGGTGCTGGGGGTCACTAACGTGACGTCATTCTACTTGCATTGTACACGATATACGGCTTTTCCATTGGACGAGAGGTCGGTCACATGACCGCAACACTGAAATTCACAAGTGTCCGAACGACACATTTGACGTTCATGCGTTTTTCACTAGACCGTGTTCTTGAAATGATGTAAACACTGACTGACTACTTCCACATTCCTGGTGAAACCCCTGGGAATTGCCTAGCACAAATAAATACGGAAAAAAACGTTCTTTCTCGTCATTTAGACCCTTTAATCTTGAACTTAGCCTTCTAGCATACATTTGGAAAAGTCAGAGAGTTTGATTGCATGCCCGTTCAAGGATATCCCCGCTACAACCCATCCCAGAGAGCAAAACGAGAACAAATACACATCCCAATTTATCGTAGTATCGACTCGATCCGTGTCCAGACTTCAGTAACAGTCTACAGCAACCTAGGGATGTCCCCAGTATCTGTTTGACACATCTTTACAATCAACTTTCAATGATCGGCCAAATGATCAGAGATGACTAACACATGTAACAGCCACAGGGTCATTTGCAACTTCGGAAATCTCTAGTCACGTTTATCGTGTCGGCCATCTACTTGATGTAAATGTATTACGACCAGTGCGGGACAAACATTGCTTGAACGTCGTCGCAAGCTCCGACGCTCATACAGTTTGGCCCTCATCATATAAAGGTTCATACTCCAATGAATACACACAAAGTGAAAGTCAGTTCTTAAAATTATTACTTAACAAATGTTCCACGACGTTACACGCGACATTCAGCGGCCGGATGTAGGTCATCTGACCGGGGCCTGAAATGGTCAGAGTAATTTCGCTATTATCGCGGTGGCAGAAAAGTTCACGCCAGGACAGATACACAGTATATTGAGTGATAATCTATTATTATCTATTGTGCGGAAGCCACTATTGTAATGGGTTGCCCAGAAACCATTTTCCGCATGTCATGTGAACATGTACTTATATAATACTTTTGTAAGTGTCTCATTAACTTCTAAATGTGTTATACGTGCGTGTGCGCTTTAGTCAAAGTACAGTCGGACACGGTACAAGAACAGGAAGATAGATGTTTTGTTTGAAGCGTATTTATTTGTTTTTGACAGGGCATTACTTCAGAGAACCGTTAAAGGGATCAGATACCGTATATATTAACATTTGTGAAAGATATTGAGTACCCGTGAAGATCCGGGTTACAATTGGTCTTCAGCAACCCATGCTTGTCGTAAGAGGCCAGTGTGCTTGTCGTAAGAGGCGAGTGTGCTTGTAAGAGGCGAGTGTGCTTGTCGTAAGAGGCGCCTAACGGGATCGGGTGATCAGGCTCTCTGACTTAGTCGATGCATGTCATCCCAATTGCGTAGATCGATGCTCATGGTGTAGACTCGATTATTTAAAACACCAAACAAACTAAACTAGAAACTGACTTTAACGAATGTATACGGACACTTGCGTCATTTAACAATTCGTCCGTATAAACGAATTTCCGTATAACTGAAACCAGCTTCTTCACATACACACTGTCTGGATTTGAATCGAGTGAGCCACCCACGAGAATATGCAAAGTCTGAAATGTCCATTTTGCCACCAAAATCGCGAGCTTTCTCTATCAGCATTTCATCATTAACGGGCACATTACGACTTGTCATGTCACACAAACAAAGATATAATGCATCTTACAGCTTCTGGTGTTTTGCTCCACGGGATCGTGATAAGTCATTTGAATTTTTCGGGAGATTTAGCCACTTCTTTTTGTCTTTAAAATGTCACCAATTGTCGATTTTCCTATGGTATGACGAAATTCAGTGCCATAATGCTTACTGATGGATTTCAAACTTGCTGACGGGTATTTTTCCTTCAACAGACAAATTTCCCTTTTTTCGCGTGCTGCAGCAGCATGTCGCTTACGTTTCGCTGGTTGACAGGCCATACTCACAGTTTGAAGTCAGGGAACCGAGGTTTCCGGATATCTGAAGTCCGTATAAGCGGGGCATGACTGTAGTAGTAGTAGTAGTATCAAAAATCATTTTTTTATTTTAAGTTAGTATTTTGTTCAATGAACACAATAATAAATATAAGCGACAGAACCCTTGTCATATTTAAGAAATAAACCAGGTGCAGGCCAAGCACCGGGTGGCTCATTCTCCCTGCAGTGTTTTATTGTACGATAAACAACGACCACGATTTTTTTTCTTATATGGGATATCAACATGATGTCCAGCCTCTTCAAGAAATCAGGATGTTAATAGAATTTAAATAATGATGACTAATTGGATATATAAGTCCATTCTATGAACAGAGTGTGTGTGTAAGTTTGGTATTTCCCGAGTATTCTCACAATTTTCACGTCAAGTATTTGTACTTAGTCTCCCAAAACCGATTATTATATCGCTCCCACTTTTGGATGCGATCATTCGGTCATTGTGTTTATCTGCGTTGCCAAGCTTCTTCTAAAAAATAACGTTCTCCAATTTACGTCGTCATGTCGAGAGCACATGTTCGAATCTCCAGAAATGATGTCATGACAGAACAAAGTTTTATCGTGAAATAAACCACGCTTCGTTCTTCATTGTTCTTTGCGATTTATCCAGCAGCTGTTTTATATATGACCATAAGGTGAGATGAGGTGAGGTGAAATGGGGTTTAACGTCGCGTCCAAGATTATTGCACTTATCTAGCGACGTGCATGCACGTGCATGTGTATGTGGCTGCTTGTACTAGTCCGGACTGATGCCTATTTATAGTGCTAGCACACTGAGATACCATGCCACAGTTTAACATGAATACCCCACTCAGACACAGTATACTGACTCCGAGCCGACCAGTCCTTGTTTTAGCCCCTTAATGCCGAGCGCCAGACAGGGTAACAACAAGTTATGACCATAAGAATCTCGCACGGTCGATTGTACAATTCCGATTGTATGATAATCACTACCAAATAGTGACGATACCAGGTTTCCGCAAAAAGGCGTATCTTGTCCCGCCGGTGGCACCCGTCACAAATACACGCAAAGGCAAGTCAATTGTTCACCTGAAAAACACGGGACCATATGATAAAAGTCAAAATAAGGAATTCCATCAGACATCATTTTATCACTGATGCGTCAAATTTGGAAATGTCTTTCTCACATGCTCACAAAAATACACTTATTACCACGGACAAATGACCAGGTAAAGCAACAGTGTTGTGACGCCGTCATGGTTTTGGTTTGGTTTGATGTTTAACGCCGCTCTCAGCAATATTCCAGCTATATGACGGCGGTCTGTAAATAATCGAGTCTGGACCAGACAATCCAGTGATTGATATCATGAGCATCGATCCACGTAATTGGGATCGATGACATGCATCAACAAAGTCAGCGAGCCTGACCACCCGATCCCGTTAGTCGCCTTTTACGACAAGCATAGTCACCTTTTACGGCAAGCATGGGTTGTTGAAGACCTATTCTACCCCGGAATCTAAACGGGTCCGACGCCGTCATGGACGCCGTATCCGTTCTGTATATGGTCGGATGAAGCTCATATATCAGACGTAACATTCGCCCGCTTGGAACCCTTAGCCTGTCAGCACCCTCTGCTTGCTCGAGACCCGTGAAGGTCCGGGGTAGAATTGGTCTTCAGCAACCCATCCTTGCCATAAGAGGCGTCTAACGGAATCGGGTGGGATATAAATCGTGCACAAAACGCCGTCCTTTATTGTTTTTATTCTTAAAATCTGTATATCCGAATATAACCTGTGTAATTAACAACATCTCTAGGTAACATTAACACGACCTGTGTCCCGTTCCAGACGAATTCTGCGGTTCCGCGATCGCGAAAAGAGTTTCAGAGAATTGCAGAAAATTCGCGGAATTTGCCTATTATAGCCAATCAGTATACTAGTTCTCATCATTTTCAAGCTTTTTCATCGAATATTGCACTCGAATGATACACAAACACTTAACATGCGATTCAAATATACAAAAATAAATAAATCCTACAACAAAACGAAATTTAAAAAGTAATTATCAACTTATAGATGTTCTGGTGGTATTAAGACAACATATTTTATGTTTACATCAACCGTTAATGTCATGTCTAAATTCAAGAGATTAAAATGATAAAAGAAAAATATTAGTTTGGATTAATATTTGAGGGGGAAATGGTTATATTTTAACCGCAGAATTTTGTAATGTTACCGCAAAAATTTGTAATTTTACTGCAGAATGTTTATGCTTTTACCGCAGAATTTGTCTGGGTCTGCTGTGTCACTTTGAACGTTCTTAATATGAAGCTCACACGCCGTGATATCACTGACACACTTGGCATAATAACCAGATAGGGGCGGTCGGGTAGCCTAGTGGTTAAAGCGTTCGCTCATCACATAATCAATCATATTGCTGGAATATTGCTAAAAGCGGCGTAAAACTACTCACTCAATCACTCACTCACTATAACCAGATAGTCACGATATGGCTAAAATATTGCCGATCTGACGGTAAAGTTCGTCCACTCACTCACTCATTAAAACGGGGGATGACTGTATTGTTGAAAGTGGCGTTGATCGCACATGCTTTTCAAGCCGCTCGTGTTTCAAGATGGTCATTTTATTTACTGCTTTCAGGTAACACGTTCAGAGTCGTCTTCAGTGAAAGCCCGCAGAGTTCATCCAAGACCAAGCAACAGCAACCCTACCATCTGGTCATCGACAAGGATGCGGTGCGTCTCCGGGACCCTACGTCTAATGACCTCATTTTGGAGTGGCCATACAGTTGCGTCAGGAGGTACGGCACGTCACCAAGCACCTTCTCGGTGGAGGTGGGGAGAAGAAGCGCTACAGGGGAAGGGGTGTTCGCGATGGTGACAACTGAAGCCCTGGCCATTTTGGACAAGATCCATGAAGTGTCGAAACAAATCATAGACAAACGTGGTCCGAAAAAGACAACTACACCCCAAAAAGGTAAATTATTCTCGCTTGTTCCTTATTGCTTGGGGTCAGTGAGAAATAAAAAGCCCCCCACCCCCATATCTGAAGATATGTTCCCTTTGGCCGCGTTCCATTGAGCGATCGTCTCGCTGAGATTACCGTAAGTCTTATACTATTAACATGGACCTACGACAGTCGTAGCGCTAAGATGATCGTAATTGTTACCCAGGTCACAATCACTCAGATTGACTGAAAACAACAAAGAATTTGTGTCACGTTTGTTTTATGTTTCATAAAACATGGCTGACAAAGATACATCATGTTTATGCTTCAAGTTTTCAACTTGGTGTGGCGCAACGGATAAAATATCAACACTCATTAACTATACTAGGCATACAATAAAGTATTATAATACCCAACTAGTTCTTGGTTACTTATGTTTTCAATGTCAACATTAGATGACAAGACCCATCAACACAACTTGCAATGGAACTAGTTGATAACATTAATATCAACTTTCAAGAAACCATAAAAGATAAATCCATGCATTAATTGTAACCATAACACCAGTAAGATGCTAAATTTCCATACTGTATTACAACATTGCATAAATCATCAAATACTCTATAAAAGTGAACTAATTATATATTTGGCATATGTTCTGTGTGAAAATAAACCTTAATGAATTATACTCCCAATAGTTTGTTATTTCAAATGAAAACTAAGAAATTACAGATTATCTTATAAATGAGTATTGAGTCAAACTGCATAACATTGTGAAGTGTCGTAAAATTAGTGTGTAAACAAGACAACAAGAATTACCTCCCTTTAACTGAGACAGATGCTATGCTATGAAATGGGATGTGCTGTAACTTATATTGGTTCAACTCAATTATCATGTTTTAATGCAGAAAAGTTATATTTACAATGATAATGCTATATGCTTGAAGTGTGTTCTTACAAAATATACAACGAAAGTATGCCAAACGATGTACATGAAAATGTGGGAGGTCACGTGACCTCAAATATGAACGATCAGCGAGATGTGGACAAATAGTGCTTTTCATCCTAACTTTTGCTTGAAAACAATGCCTGATGAGTGTGTGTACATGTTTGACAGCGATACACATCATATACATCTGTGTGAGTACTAAAACGACAAATGACCTTGACTGTCCTTCGCTACCATGTCGTCCGTGAACACTGACAGGGCGCAGCGTTATCGTTTAGCAAGTAATTATCTAATTACAACATTACCTATATAGCCAAATATGGTTATTTCAAATCTACATGTTCTTATCTACATAATTACATATGTTGTGGTCTTATCTCAACCGTTAATTTTCATACATACCTGAAAACAACAAAGAATTTGGGTCAAGTTTGTTTTGTTTCATAAAACATGGCTGACAAAGATACGTCAGCCAATGACGTCAGCCAATGACGTAAGCGCATTCAATTTGACAGTGCGCTAAGCGGCACAACTTCCAGAGGACTGACAGAGTGATTTCTCTTAGACCGTGGACGAAACACTCAACACGTATTTACTTACACCCTCGCAAAGACGGAATATATTACACAGGGGATGCAAAATTTAACTGAATGCACTTACAATGGGTGAAAAGTATATACTTTTAACATAGACTTACGGCAGTCGCAGCGGTAAGATGATCGTAATCCCCATACTTTTAACATAGACTTACGACAGTCGTAGCGCTAAGATGATCGTAATCTCCATACTTTTAACATGGACTTACGACAGTCGTAGCGCTAAGATGATCGTAATCCCCATACTTTTAACATGGACTTACGACAGTCGTAGCGCTAAGATGATCGTAATCCCCATACTTTTAACATAGACTTACGACAGTCGTAGCGCTAAGATGATCCTAATCCCCATACTTTTAACATAGACTTACGACAGTCGTAGCGCTAAGATGATCCTAATCCCCATACTTTTAACATAGACTTACGACAGTCGTAGCGCTAAGATGATCCTAATCCCCATACTTTTAACATAGACTTACGACAGTCGTAGCGCTAAGATGATCGTAATCCCCATACTTTTAACATGGACTTACGACAGTCGTAGCGCTAAGATGATCGTAATCCCCATACTTTTAACATAGACTTACGACAGTCGTAGCGCTAAGATGAACCTAATCACCATACTTTTAACAAAGACTTACGACAGTCGTAGCGCTAAGATGAACCTAATCACCATACTTTTAACATAGACTTACGACAGTCGTAGCGCTAAGATGAACGTAATCTCCAAACTTTTAACATAGACTTACGACAGTCGTAGCGATAAGATGATCGTAATCCCCATACTTTTAACATAGACTTACGACAGTCGTAGCGATAAGATGATCGTAATCCCCATACTTTTAACATAGACTTACGACAGTCGTAGCGCTAAGATGAACGTAATCTCCATACTTTTAACATAGACTTACGACAGTCGTAGCGCTAAGATGAACGTAATCTCCAAACTGTTAACATGGACTTACGACAGTCGTAGCGCTAAGATGAACGTAATCTCCATACTTTTAACATGGACTTACGACAGTCGTAGCGCTAAGATGATCGTAATCACCATACTTTTAACATAGACTTACGACAGTCGTAGCGCTAAGATGATCGTAATCCCCATACTTTTAACATAGACTTACGACAGTCGTAGCGCTAAGATGATCGTAATCTCCATACTTTTAACATAGACTTACGACAGTCGTAGCGCTAAGATGATCGTAACCACCATACTTTTAACATAGACTTACGACGGTCGTAGCGCTAAGATGATCGTAATCACCATACTTTTAACATAGACTTACGACGGTCGTAGCGCTACGGTCATTTTAGGGAATAGGGCCCTGGTCCGTTATTACTAATACCTGACATCAGGTTCACAGGTAATAAATTTCATGACTTATACATATAAGTGGGTGGAGTCGGGTTTAACGTTCACTTTTATAGCAACTTGCATGTACGTGAGTGGGTGGCTGCTTGTAATAGTCAGGACGTATTCCGGTTTTCCAGTTCTAGCCCTCTGCGATACCATGCCGCAATTTAACATGGATAGGCAACTCACTCGCTTATTACTGACACCGAGCCGACCAGTCCTTTAGTCCACTAAAGGGTAACGCCAAGTACCATCTTCAACGTCTTTTGGTATGGCGCAGCCATTGGATCGAACCATCGACCATAAACTGTCCGGGCAGAATCTGTCAGTTCAGCCTGAAGCATTGTCAAACTTTTTCATGTTATAATGCTGTCATTATATCGTCTTAAATGATATATCGAGTTCTCATGCTGCCTTCTTTTTGTCTTTCAGACAACGTATACACAGAACCGTACACCCAATGGCCACAGCGATTAAGAGATACTAGATTGAAAGGTGAAGTTCTGGATGAGAAAAGTAAAGAGTCAGGACCAGCTCCGAAGACAGCAGCGCCCTACCTTGAAACAGGTGATGGCGTAACGGTGACACGCATCGGACAGGGATCAGAATTAGAACCAACACTTCCACCAAGATTAGAACCCCCAATTCCACCTAGATTAGAACCTACACTTCCAACTAGATTAGAACCTACACTTCCACCAAGATTAGAACCAGCACTTCCACCAAGATTAGAACTTACAGATCCGCATAGATCAGAACCCAGGACCCGTACTGAATCAGACACTAGCACCCGTACAGGATCAGACCCTAGAACCCGTACTGGAATCGACCCTAGGGCCAGTACGAGATCCGGGACAGGGCTGTACCTGTCGCCGACGTTCATAGACACTGTGGGCGTCACTGAAGATTTATACGACGACGGCGAAGCTGTGGCTGCACACATTGCCGCAATGCCGACACCAAAAACACGTGATGACCCAGGACAAGGAACATATTGGACATCAACATCAATTGAGCCTCAAATTCGTCACAATTATGAACCGCTGAAAATAGGTAAAGAAGAATTGAGTGGGCAGGTTGACATGAAACCCCAGCCAGGCAGGATTATAGCTTTTGATTTACCAAAGAGAGAACGTCCCAAGCAGCCTCGTGTAAACTACGAGAACGTGAAAGGTGTAAAAGAATAAAGTTGGATTGCGTACCTAAGGCATCTTGGATGTCGATTCAATATAGACATTGGACTTGTATGTCCTGATTTGCCCTGTTCTTTTTTTCAAGTCAAATAAGAACTTGTCATCAAAATCGTAATCCTAACACAATACTCATACAGGAAAACGAACATAATAATCAAAATAGCAATAATCATAACCATAATAATCATCAAAATCACAATTCGATTTACAATGCGCCAAATTTCATTATTATCCCGGTCAGTGGATCAGAGCTCACTTGATTTTCATTCTCAGCTCCCCGGGGAGTCTACAAACCAGGCTGCCTGTGAGGCGCTAGAAGGTTAACAGTTGCCATTGCATATTATCTTCACACACAAAATTAGTTATGTATGTTGACAGGATCCCCGACATAAATTAATAAGGGTTTCCGTCCCTTGTCATGCTCTGGCCGATGGTTCCAACTCCATGATATGAAGTCCTTACCCGCATGGATACCGTTGTTTATTATTAAAGTATCTGTACGTGTATGCATTACATGAACGGTTTCATCCTCAGACAGAGTAGACTACCCCTACATGTAATAGTGGTAAATGTTTGATCTGAAAAATAGTAAACAAAGTCGAGTGATATATTGGTCTGTTATTTGCTTTAAAGGTGCGAGGTCCCTTTTAAAATTTCGATTCATCAGAACGCGACAATAATCCGTGTTCAAACATGATAAGCGTGACGCAGCGCAAAAGTACATGAAACCAGTCTTTGTTAACGCGTCCATAAGTAAAACCGAGGGTGTCTAACGTTGTATAATAGAATAGAGAGATTCTCTTTTAAATTAATATGTAGACAAAACATATAAATACGCAAAACTACATTAGATCAGTGCAACGCTGGTCTTGCACCTTTTCGATCATTTACGACGTCGTGTGCTTGGAAACGCTCTGGTTTCCAGTCTTTGCAAGGGGCGGTCGGGTAGCCTAGTGGTTAAAGCGTTCGCTCGTCACGCCGAAGACCCGGGTTCGAATCCCGACATGGGTATAATGTGTGAAGCCCGTTTCTGGTGTCCCCCGCCGGGATATTGCTGGAATATTGCTAAAAGCGGCGTAAAACCAAACTCACTCACTCACTCCAGTCTTTGCAATCTTCAGTCAATCATATTCCAAAACGGAGGGGCAGAACAAAGTATACCGAGTTTGTTTTTTGATGTAATTGAAGATTGAAAGAACTGTTGTTTAAATTGATTATGTCTATTTAACAATCACTCATTCCTGCAACAGTTTGTAAAAAGAAATCTGTGGCTGGGTAATTTTGTTTAAAAATATACTGATTAGGCTTAGATAAGAAATGAATTTGCAAACACATGACCATGTTGTAAATTTGTGCCGAAAAAGACAATTGTTTATTTTCAAAGGTAAGATGGTATGTATTATGCGAAAACCTTCTTTTTGATTTGAGGTGAATGTTTTGAAAAATAAAATCATTGTAGAAGTATTCTTTTTTGCATATTTTCAGTTGAAAATAATCAACTGAGAGGTACTTTCTTTTTACTCCCCAGATTATAATATAAACCTGCCAATCTTCAAGGATTGTCATGAATCATTAAGTAGGGTAGGACATGCTCAAGTTATGTGTATGAAAAATGATATTATTCTGATTGTGTATCTGCTTGTTTCTATTACACCAGGGCGGCGTAAAACCAAACTCACTCACTCACTTTCAATGCTCACAGGGATGCCTATGTGCACACATAGGTGAGACCATTCTCTCTTGTACACTGATATCCAGATACAAAAACATATTTCAAAATAATAAAAAGTTATTTTATTTCTTTTAGAAAATGTAAGTGTTCCTATTGAGCCTATTAAGCTTCGTCTCTGAGAGTTCTAACACAACGTAAGTTTCCATGGTAGTAAAAAAAATAACGTCGCATGGACGTAATATTATAACGTTCCCACGACTTAAAAAAATAACAATATAGAATGCAGAATACAACACTGCCACAATGAAAAATACAACGTTGACACAACGTTACCACAACGCAAAATACAACGTTATCAGAGCGTTAAATACAACGTTACCCCAACGTAAAATACAACGTTGACACAACGTAAAAGTCAACGTTACCACAACGCAAAATACAACGTTATCAGAGCGTTCAATACAACTTTACCACAACGTAAAATACAACGTTAACTTAAAATACATCGTTACCAAAACGTAAAATACAGCCTTATCAGAGCGTTAAATACAACGTTACCCCCAACGTAAAATACAATGTTACCACGACGTAAAATACAGCGTTATCAGAGCGTTAAATACAACGTTACCCCGACGTAAAATACAATGTTACCACGACGTAAAATACAGCGTTATCAGAGCGTTAAATACAACGTTACCCCAACGTAAAATACAATGTTACCACGACGTAAAATACAGCGTTATCAGGGCGTTAAATACAACGTTACCCCAACGTAATATACATCGTTACCACAACGTAAATACAACTTTAACGTAAAATACCTCGTTACCACAACCTAAAGTACTGACGTTCCCACAACGTAGCTACAACGTTGCCATAACGTTGTGACGACGGGAAAATGATGTATCACAACGTAAACACAACGTTGTGATACATCATTTTCCTGTCGTCACAACGTTGTGACAGCATAAATGGGATTTCACAGAATGACCTTGCCTGGACGTAATATCATAATATTCTGACAACGTGAAATGTTTAGCTGTTTAACAGTGATATGTTTAATGAGTGCCGCGGTCCAATGTTAAATTACCAACTTTTTAATATCACAAGATGAGATAAGTATTTCAAAGACATATCCTATGCACAAATGAAAAAAAAGTCAATAATCTCGATATTTTTGGGTTTACAAGTACTTTTGAGAAAGACGACTTTAAAAAATTAAATAGAAAGATATGGGACCTGCATGCTCCTTAGATAGTAAATCGTCGTTGAATAAACATGTTTTGACAATTGACCTAAATTCCATGTTTGTTTTTTGGTTGTCAAATTCCACTTTTTTGTCATTAAACGGAAGTTGATTGAAATTAACTGATTAATATGAAATAACATGTGTTTACCACAATAAGGTTTTTGAATTATGATGAGAATAGTTGCTGCTGGGATTTCTTTCTTAAATTAAGTCTACTTTCACACGTTGTACTGATAAAAGTATGACCGAATTGTTTTTGACTCAAGATAACAAATTCAGACCATAATACAATTGTAAAGTAAAGGGTCATCTGCTAATGAGTTGACCTTGCATGGGGCTACTGGCCATGGAGGAGAGGTGAGATGAGGTTTAACGTCGCGTCAAAAATTATTGCGACGTGAATACCCCCCACACAACAAGTACAATCTTTAAACGTTGGTTGGTTGGTTGGTTTGTTGTTTAACGCCGCACTCAGCAATATTCCAGCTATATGACGGCGGTCTGTAAATAATAGAGTCTGAACCAGACAATCCAGTGATTGACAACATGAACATCGATCCACGCAATTGGGATCGATGACGTATTTTGGTATGACGCGCTCCGGGATCGATACCCGGACATTCTGCTCTCCGGGCGGACGCTCTAACTAGACCACGGAGGCGGTGCTGGAGCTATTGCATATGAAATTTTGCAACTCGTACTGTCAAACAGCCGACCGTCATCGCACTGCTTTCGGGAAGAGACTTATTCATGATATGCCAAAAACGAATGTTGTAAAACGTCTGAAAAACATAGTGCCCTTGAGAAGTAGTTCGCGCAATGTGTAGTTCACTCAAGTGAAATATCGATGTCATATGTTCAGATATAGTCTGTCATCACTCATCTTATAAACAGATCAACCTTTGGTTGGATGACCATGTAAGTACTTTATACAAGCTAAGTTAAGATGCTCATGATATCGATCACTGGGTTGTCTGGTCCAGACTCGATTACTTACAAACCGCCGTCATATAGCTGAAATATTGCTGCGTGCGGCGTTAAACAACAAACCAACCAACCAACTGTTCCCTCAGCAAATTATTATAAACAGTAACGTTTATCGAGTCGTAACAGTAAGTCTACAGCAACCTATATGTCGTAAGCGCCGAGTAACGGGATCGGACGATCGGGATCTCTGACTTGGTTGATGCATGTCATCGTTTCCCAGTTGAATGGACCGATGCTCATGATGTCAATCACTGGATTGTCCAGCACACATTCAGTTATTTACAGCTCGCCGTCATATAGCTGAAATATTGATGAGAGCGGCGTTAAACAACAAACAAACAAGTAACACTAAGAGATCTCCGGATCGAGTAAACTGTTCACTACATCATTGTTGATGCCTTAAACCGTAAATTAATGTTATTCGGTACTTTTTTAGGGCAGTCAACTCCCTTGCCTCCAGCTTCCCAAGTGACAAGTCTGGTGATGCAGCCATGATTGTCTGCCTTCCCAGCAAGCCCATGTGTGTGGAGGCTTTCTCCTCATACCCACCACTACTGGGACGTTTCGCCGTCCGTGACATGAAGCAGACAGTTGCTGTCGGTGTCATCAAGGAGGTCACCAAGAAAGAGGTTACAGGAAAGACCACCAAGGCCGCCTAAAAAGAAGAAACGATTAGCTCGGGATAAAGACCCGTGGCTCACCAAGGGCAAAGCAAATTATAACATCGGAACCATCAGTCTGCTTATTGTAATCTGTTCAATGGAAATGCACGCTCAGCTTGTTTTAATAAATTTCTTGGTCAACATGGTTGCTACAATCTAAACTGCACCGAAAAGAATCCTTGGACATTAAGGACTTAATTTTATTGCCACACTTGAAACGAAAAAGAAATGTCAAAGTAAAAAAAATAAAAAAAATAAATAAAATCCCTTGCCTCGGAAGGGTGACAACATTTATGACAATCATTCGACTAAGACAACATTATCCAATCCTAACATAATCATAACAAACTGTTATCATTCAGGCTGATTCAACATTCTCACGAAACAGTCACTAATTATACATTTATTATATCTTTTCTTATTCTGACTGTGCTATATCAATCAATACGCGATCGTTCATCATTGGGTAAGCTCCACACAGCGATAGCCTGTTCCCTGAGTTCTATCCTATCGCTGCCACCGGTCACAGCTCCCTACTGTGCTATGCGGCCTACAGCCATGCATGGAGTTGAACTCCCCACCGAGTTATTCTTCCCCGCCCTTAAGGCGGGGAAGTATACGGGAAACGTTAAATTTGTGGCATGTATGTCGACATGTTGGTTTATTTGAAATTTCAAGCCACGCATTTACGGAAACAAAACATACAAATCATGTGCGTTGAATGTTGATGCTATTCTTTTCCAGCAATAAGATATACTTCAAAATCGTCTTTATGTAGTTAATTGATGCATCTGCATCCATTCATGTGTAATCTGATGTCCTTTTTTCCTCAAGGACTAATTTTCTGATTTTCACGGTGTATACAAAAGAAGAACTGTGCTCCGGAGATCGTAAATAACAGCATAATAAAAATTATGTTCTGAATATGCTTATTCGACGACGACATCTCAATTTTAATGTAATATGGCTGAATTCCATATTCTACATACCACACTTTTGATTGTTTGGATGCTCATGTTCACTGGAAATATTTGGAATAGTTATATTCCGTATTTTGAATTAACCCAGTCCCCCGTGTTTTTTTAATCAGTGCACCGCACATAGCCACATGTGAAACGTTTGGTAGCAAAGTCAAAGCAAAATCGGAGTAGTGTGTCAGCGAATGTGCATCAAGGCCGAGTATTTTTCAACCGTTTAATGGAATTCAATGTACAGCCGTAGCTCTGGTCACTCATATATTTTGTGTCCCATGGCTCAAATCTATTTGCGTCTGTACCGTGTTCCACTGACCTCGATAATCTGTTGGACGAAGGCACAGCTCTCTGCAGTCACATACATAGTTAACACCGAAGGCTATGAGGGGTATTTAGGTCATAATCAGCTCCCAGCAGCCACTGCCTCAAGCGATATTGTCTACATAACAGATCAGTTTTATGGCTCACAGGTGCTCCAAATATTGAAGCAGGGAAAACAAATTTCATAGAATCATTTCAACAAGCAATATTGATACCCCCGTCACTTTCGGTAACTCTTAATGATGTCTCCATTGCAATTTTTATGGATTTCGTTTCGTATGCATTATTTGACTCTCATCAGCGGAATGGTTTGGGTCAGATTGATCCGAATGGACAAGCGGTTTTACTTCTGTTTAGTAGTATGGATGAATTGTTATGTTAAATCTTAACAGTATATCAGGCGACTATGCTTATCGTAAGAGGCGACAAACGGGATCGGATAGTCAGGCTTTCGTTGATGCATGACATCGATCCCAATTGCGTGGATCGATGCTCATGATATTAGGCACTGGATTGTCTGGTCCAGACTCGATTATTTACAGAACGCCGTCATATAGCTCGGATATTGCTGAGTGCGGCGTTAAACGACAAACCAATCAATCACCATCATATGAACTCAAACCAGTCATTGTTTCAAGTAAACCACATTCCACAACAGTTACTGACACTAGATAAAAAACAGTACATAGAAAAAAACCAAGTAACTCAACTCATCATGATCACAATTACTATTCTTTGAAAGAAAGAAATACAAAAAAGAAACTGACCAAAAAAACGTTAAACAAGAGACGAGGAATCTCCGTTATTGATTAGTCCCGGTATTGAAGTGTTCTCTAACTACGTGATAATATTTTGAGTATGTGCATCTGTGGTTGTGACAAATTAAAAAGACCTTATCTAGTATGACTTTTTTGCCATATGGAGCCCTTGGTATTTTCATTTACATTATTATAACCAAATGCCAAGTGTAAAAAGAATGTGATCTATTATTTAAGTATGTGCATCTGCCAATGTTGTTGGCAGTTTTGATACTATTTCCACATGTTTACATTTGTGCCAGAAATTGCTTCCATTTCCTTCGATCTACTTTTTAAATAAAGACCCAGGTAAGAATAGGTCTTCGGCAACCCATGCTTGCCGTAAGAGGCGACGAACAGGATTAGGTAGTCAGGCTCGCCGATTTGGTCGATGCATAACATCATATTCCAATTGCGTAGTTCGATGCTCTTGGTGTCAATCACTGGATGATCTGGTCCAGACTGGATTATTTACAGACCGCCGTCATATGGCTGGAATACTGCTGGGTGCGGCGTTAAACAAGAAACTATTTTTAAATAGACCTACCCTATGCAAATGTATCAACTGTATGGCCCAATACTCAAAATAGATAATATTTTTTTCCACAACAGCGTTGTGTTATTTGTGGTTAATATAATTATGCTCCATCATGCCTTTCAGTAACATCATAATTATGCGTTTGTGAGGCATCACATATGGCGGGGAACTTTGATGCTCTGCATCAATGTTTTCTTGTGTTTACAAACAAGTGATTATTGTAGTGGCGCCGAGTACAAGTCGACTTGTTATGTACCCTTGAATTTGGACGTCCCATTAGTTAGACGTCCCAATAGTTAGACAGCTTAAAACAACACTTTAAACGGTTGAGTGCACACAAATCCTTTTGCCTGTTACCTCTGACTTTAAAATGGAATAGTCCAGATAAGATCTAACAAACAAAGCAAAGCAGCTTTAAATAGATACTTTAATATTATACTTAACATTTAATGACACTTTACATTTGATAAATTTTATACAGTTTGGATTTGTAGATTGCTGATTGTGTATTGCTGAGGCCATGCCCATTAGTTCGGCCGTGAATATGGATTGGTTGTTTGGGAGTCGGTAAGATTGTGTGTTTTGGGTTGGTTGTGCGATGTGGACTCCGAAACCAGTGTGTTTTGAGATCGGATCTGAGGATCGTTAATCATAATATTGAAGAGTGTTGGGCTAAGGATGCTGCCCTGGGGAGTGCCATTTTCTAGGGGACATTGGTCCGATAGCGTTTGGTCTATGCCCACGGTGATTTTGCGGTTTGTTAGGAAACTTTGGATGTAGTTAATTATTTGACCTTTAAGACCTGTTTTTTGTACTTACTTCCACGCCGCGAGGTGAAGTACTCTACTTTCCTTAAACCAGTCATATCGATACTGATAATGATACATACCCCATGATCATTTTTATTTGTTGGATAAGTAGATAATCTAAACTCAAGTCCTTCAACTGAACATACAGTAAGACCTTAGTTTACATAGTTAATCTCATGCCTATTGAACCTGTGCTGAGAGTAAGGTAATTTAGGTTAATTAAACGAAATTGTAACATATATACTCCCTATACTGTGAGTCCCCTATCCCTACTCAGTAATTTAATCTAATTAGGACTGATCCATTATACCTGTAGGTATATTCGATCTTTGCCTAAATAAAAATGTCTAACAAATGGGACGTCTAACAAATGGGACGTCTAACTAATGGGATGTAACCGATCGAGATGGGGAGTTACTGGGGTAATTACAGAGTTTGTCAAGCTCCTTACCAGCGCGTGTAAGGAGCTATTGCTGTGAGGAGCTTACTTGCGGAAAAGACAGCAGCGACACCAAGCAGTGGATCCTTACTCTCGCGATCACACCTTGGCTATATTTAGAATATGACACACGCAAAACAAGGACCTGTGTTGCTCGGGCGGTACTCTCCGTAAGTGTTTCGAGAAGTTGATAAATTGCTATCACTGGGACTGGGAGCTGTGACTAGACACAGTCCCCACAGTTTGTCGTTACTTGAACACCGTCATTCAACCACAAACGACTGACAATGACGACAGGCGTTGGCAGTACCAGGCTACTAACCTGCCTGCTGTTAGCGATCATCGACATCGGTGACGCTTCTGTAGGTTCAGAACGCTCTCGGACACCGCTTGCGTTTTTCGCTTCGGCATCCAAACATCTTGCCCCACGTTATAAGAGACAGGCGCCTGGAGATGTTGAGGTTGAAGTACCTAAGATCACAGAACTACGCATCACCTCTCAAGTTCAGTCCAGATTTGCTACTGTCAAAATATCCAGCACCATAGTGAATTCAAAGAATGAAAGTAAAGAAGCGAATTTCAAAGTGCAGTTACCCGAATCAGCCTTTATATCCAATTTCACCATGATAATCAACAACACGTTTAAAACATCTGTGGTTTATGGGAAAAAAGAGGCTCAGGAAAAGTATGACAAGGCTAAAAAGGATGGGAAGACAGCAGGACAAATTCGACACTCTTCTACGGATGTGGCCCGTGGGATGGACATATTTGCTACATTCGTCAACGTCGCCGCCGAGAGCGAGGTCTTCGTCGAGCTGACGTACCTCCAGTTGCTGGAGCGACGCCTGGGTTTATATGAACAGAGGATAATGGTCCAACCCAGACAGATTGTGGAAAACTTGACCCTGGATCTTATCTATGAAGAGAGTCCTCAAATATTTGACAGATTTACCTATCGGCTCCCTAACAGCACGGATGTTATGGATGCATCGTCAGAACATGCAACACTCTTCTCATCTGTCTCAAAACGTCGCATCAAGTACAATCCTTCTGTAGCGAGACAGACCCAAGTCAACGCTGACAGAGGCATTGATGGGGAGTTTGTTGTGTCCTATGACCTGAAACATGAATTTGATGGAGGCAACATCATCTCAGCACTCAGTAACGATTACTTTGTTCATTATTTTGCTGTTGACAAGTCGGATGAGTTGCCACCCATCCCCAAAAATATTATATTTGTGATTGATGTAAGTGGTTCAATGGGAGGAAGGAAGATTGAACAAACAAGAAGCGCAATGAAACAGATTCTCCAGCAGCTGAGTAGTGTGGACTTTTTCAATATATTACTGTTTAATAGTGAAATAAGAGTGTGGCAATCAGAGCCTCTTCAAGCAACCTCAAACAATATCCAGACTGCTCAAAGCTATGTTGATGAGAATGTGATATCTGGTGGAGGCACAAATATCAATGATGGTCTTACTGACTCTCTTAGGATCCTTTTTAGAAACAAGGCCAACAAAGCTGACATCATTGTATTTCTGACAGATGGACAGCCATCAGCTGGAGAAACTGATGTATCAAAAATTCGTGTAAATGTCAAAGGTCTGAATGAAAACAGAGTCTCAATATTCTCCCTAGGATTTGGCACGGGCGTGAATTTCGAATTTCTGCAGCAGATATCTTGGGAGAATGGAGGCTTCGCGAGACGGATTTATGAAGAGGATGACGCTGCGGAACAACTTACAGATTTCTTTAAAGAAGTGAACATCCCTTTGCTCCTCAATGTGAAGTTTCAGTATAACACCATCCAGGTGGACACCTCACAGCTGACCCAAACAACATACAATCAGTTCTTCTCTGGAACAGAAGTGGTGGTTGTTGGCAAGAGACTAGGTGATGAGATAGATGCTACCGTGCAGGGTTCTACAGCAAGTGCCAACACAGTTGAGCTTGTTGTTCCGGATTCATCAAAGACACGTCTTTCTGGCCCCTCAGGAGAGTTTACCGAGAAGTTGTGGGCGTATCTGACCATCAAGGATTTATTGAAGAAGAAGGCAATGTCCACATCTGATGCGGATTTTGAGTTTCTAGAAGGTCGTGCACTCAACATGTCCCTGGCGTACAAGTTTGTGACTCCCCTCACATCTCTATTGATTGTTCAGGATCAGCAGGATCCGCAGCAGGACAGGAAGGACATTTTAAGGGCCTCAGTGTCATACCCGTCAGGCAACCAGGTTTCATATGGATCATCTTGTGCCTGCCCATTGACTGTTACTCTGTTACCAGTGTTCCTGATCATAAGGTTGTTTTTGTAGGTCAAGAGGTGTTGTCAATCTTGTGACAACAAACACAGGCCCATGTCGTTGATTTACATGGAAGAAAGACAAATCTAATTTGGAGACCGCCTCCGTGGTCTAGTGGTAGAGCGTCCGCCCGGAGAGCGGACGGTCCGGGGTTCGATCCCCGGCCGCGTCATACCAAAAGACGTTAAAAGATGGTACTTGTTGTTACCCTGTCTGGCGCTCGGCATTAAGGGGCTAAAACAAGGACTGGTCGGCTCGGAGTCAGTATACTGTGTCTGAGAGGGGTATTCATGTTAAACTGCAGCATGGTATCTTAGTGAGCTAGGACTATAAATAGGCATCAGTCCGGACTAGTACAAGCAGCCACGCGCGCATGCACGTTGCTATATAAGTGCAATAATCTTGGACGCGATGTTTAACCCCATTTCACCTCACCTCACCAAATCTAATTTGGTTCTTGTTTAGCCTAAGGAATTAAAACATCAGCCTTAGACCTGTACCTTCCTCTTAGTTGTGCTTTTGGGGGCCCAGGTATAATGTGGGGTCCCATACCAACCACTGTAACAAATTAATAGAAAGTATTGGGGAAGATATATGAATCGGATTTTCCTTGCTTGAATTGAAACCAAACTTTGTGATTGAGTGAAGTAAATGGACATTGACAGTCTGCTTCATAGCAACAATTGAATTGGTTTAATGATTGAAACAGCAATGCTCTTGGCTTCTCATCTTTCAGTGCAAATATTTTGTATTCATTTTCAATTTTAAGTGTATCAGATGCAATATTTTACATTTGGTAACTGAAATCTTTGCAATATTAGGTCTGTATTGTGATATGTATGGGAATATATTGCCATTGACTAACCTTTGTATTATTATGACCATAATTGTGCCATATGTCGGTATTTATCCCATTTGTTGGGACCGATTTTATAGTCAAGAGGCTCACGACACCATTTGTAACAATACTAACGCTTAATGAAGGGAGATAACACCACGACAAATAGCAGTGTGTAATAGAAATATTATTTGTGTGAGATAAGCTGTATGAGGACAATGTTTAGCATGTTTAGTATATTATACTCCCCAACCTTAAAGGGCGAGGTATTCAGTCTACTTCATAGATTCTTTTCAAACTTCAACACTTTTTATACTTATCATGCTTAAATGAGAGGTGCATTGCAAAGTTTGATTTCAATATTTAGATTTTCTGCCATAATACAGCTTTTTTTCATTTTGGACTTGAATGTTTTTACTTTAACATTTGCGCGACATATAACTTGAAAACTACTTCTTGGATTCTTTTTATATGTAGGGAACAGTTTCTGTACTGATAGAAGTGCAGTGCAAAGTTTGATATGATGTGTGTATTTTTATGCACTTTATGTATTTTGTCTTGTTCCATCATTGATATAACCCCAAGAATACACTTAATGTATTTTGTCTTGTTCCATCATTGATATAACCCCAAGAATACACTTAATGTATTTTGTCTTGTTCCATCATTGATATAACCCCAAGAATACACTTAATGTATTTTGTCTTGTTCCATCATTGATATAACCCCAAGAATACACTTTATGTATTTTGTCTTGTTCCATCATTGATATAACCCCAAGAATACACTTAATGTATTTTGTCTTGTTCCATCATTGATATAACCCCAAGAATACACTTTATGTATTTTGTCTTGTTCCATCATTGATATAACCCCAAGAATACACTTAATGTATTTTGTCTTGTTCCATCATTGATATAACGCCAAGAATACACTTAATGTATTTTGTCTTGTTCCATCATTGATATAACCCCAAGAATACACTTAATGTATTTTGTCTTGTTCCATCATTGATATAACCCCAAGAATACACTTAATGTATTTTGTCTTGTTCCATCATTGATATAACCCCAAGAATACACTTTATGTATTTTGTCTTGTTCCATCATTGATATAACCCCAAGAATACACTTAATGTATTTTGTCTTGTTCCATCATTGATATAACCCCAAGAATACACTTAATGTATTTTGTCTTGTTCCATCATTGATATAACCCCAAGAATACACTTAATGTATTTTGTCTTGTTCCATCATTGATATAACCCCAAGATTACACTTTATGTATTTTGTCTTGTTTATCATTGATATAACCCCAAGAATACACTTTATGTATTTTGTCTTGTTCCATCATTGATATAACCCCAAGAATACACTTTATGTATTTTGTCAAAATATCGACCTATTCAGCATGTTCAGAACCCGACTAGCACAATACATATTGTTGAAGGCTTGTATCGTGATTTACCAGTGTGTTGGTAATACTTATACCTATTGTGTTATTCAAGTCGGTCTATTTGTTTGGTGATTGGTTGTTTGAACAAGAAGTTGGTGATGGGCTATTGCCTCATTATTTTTCTATCATTTTAGTAATTTTTCAAAGAAAAAATAAGTTGAGTAGCTCTTCTTTCAGTTTGATGGTATCATAAGGCAGTGGAAATTTACATTTTATTAGACTTTCTTCTAGAACATGGACTTGTTGGCTCGGAGTCAGTATACTGTGTCTGAGTGGGGTATTCATGTTAAACTGTGGCATGGTATCTCAGTGTGCTAGCACTATAAATCGGCATCTGTCCAGACTAGTACAAGCAGCCACACACACACGTCGCTATATAAGTGCAAGAATCTTGGACGCAATGTAAACACCATTTCACCTCACCCCCATCTTTATTGGTTTGGGGGCAGTTTACACTTTATGCTGTTCGGTGTGAATTGTAATAAGACCACACTTTCTTAATTTTATGTTTCACGGATTTTCTCCAGCTTTTCCACACAAGGTTTGTAGAAATATAATTTTATCATTTAACTTAAGCATTTATCCATGACATAAGCTTATGACATAAAAACATGTATGTCATACCCCAATGACATAAGTATGCAAATTAGATATGCAAATTAGATAACCGGAAGAGGGAGCGGTTTGATTTGAAACTATATATTATAAGTGAAGTTACACCAGAGATATAATCAGATTACACAAACCGTTGTTGTTACCGTTATTAAAGTTTCAATTATTCTGCAAAAGTCTGTTCAAGTATTTTGTTTAAAATAATCCGAGGAACTTTTTTTCTCAGCGAATTGTTTATTTTGGTTTACATGGCTATGGAACACATGTATCACTACGCACGATCTATACGTAAGATTTCGACAAGTTGCTGATGTTAATGTTTAATGCAATTATTCCTTAATTTGGAAGCAAAAATGTGAAAATGATAAATAGAATTCATCACTCGTGCCAAAGGCTCAGCAAATACCGATTAACTAAGACTCGGTTGATATTTCCCATATTAAAAAACACTCGTGATGAATCCTCTATATATGTAAATGTCAATTATGTATTTATTTAAATGAAAGTCATTCTGACGTGGAGTACTGACAAGTCACATGGTGACCTTTTACTGGTACATTTAGACATTCTCAGGGAGTTTCTCTGTTTCGGTGTTAGCACTAGCACTCAGCGATATGGACTGTATTTCTTGCTCATCAGACCGCCTCCGTGGTCTAGTGGTAGAGCGTCCGCCCGGAGAGCGGAAGGTCCAGGGTTCGATCCCGGGCCGCGTCATACAAAAATACGTTAAAAGATGGTACTTGTTGTTACCCTGTCTGGCGCTCGGCATTAAGGGGCTAAAACAAGGACTGGTCGGCTCGGAGTCAGTATACTGTGTCTGAGCTGGGTATTCATGTTAAACTGCGGCATGGTATCTCAGTGAGCTAGCACTATAAATCGGCATCAGTCCGGACTAGTACAAGCAGCCACACACACAAATACACGTGCACGCACGTCGCTATATAAGTGCAATAATCTTGGACGCGACGTTAAACCCAATTTCACCTCACCTCTTGCTCATCATCTGCAGTTACAGCAGAGGGCTTGAAGAAATATAAAATAGTGGGGTTTATCCTTTTGGACTGCCATTTGAAAAGCAAGACGTACATAATATTTGTGATAATTTAGTCAATATGAGGAAGCTTCTAAATGCCCTTCAAAGAAAATATAAGGAAAGACTCAATTACATTCAAACGCAAGGTCTATATAATGTTTCTGACATGCCTTCAAAATATAGAAAGAAGCGAGTACTTTTAAATTTGTTTTGTGCAGTTTCGAACATCTTGTCAAACTTCTGTAATGTATGGCTGACAGAAATCACCAAATAATTCAGATTGATTTTACAACAAGAAGTCGTTTCGCGATAGTGGAACATGCAACCAACATGACTAATGGGGGAATATTGTTTCATTGACACTCTGATTTTGTATAGACATGAAATAAACATTAACATAAGTACCTTTAATGAAAATGTCTCTGGCCACGAGGCACTGTACATAAAGTTCAAGCAAGCCAATTCCTATTTATTTGTGCCGTGGGCACGGGGGCACTTGTAATTTCAAGCCTTGGCTATGAATAACTTGATGTATGGTTCATGATAAAAACTATACATATTTTTTTCCTTTTGGGTAGAAGCTTTCTTCGTATATTTAAAAAAAATAATTTTATGATCCAATTTATCCTAATGTCAAATAATGTACTATATTGTAGTGTATAAATAGTTATTCAACTTCGACAGTGATGTATTTGAGAGGTTTTATATGTTGAATGTATATTTGTATATCTAATAATGTTTATTGTTTTTATTGTGTCATTATCATGATTATTAAGATTTTGTTGTTGTTGGATATTAAGAAGTGCTTTAGCATTCTTTACAATTCAAAATGTAAAAGTACTTTTTGTTCTTTCATTTCAAATTATCATATTTATTGTTTGATTACATGTTGTATTAATGAACTAGTTTTTCGGTTGCTTTTAGTTAAGCAGATGAATATTATAAATGTTCTTCATATTTTATTGTGTACCTTTTTGTTAAATCTTTAGACTTTACCTTGTTCTTCTTTGTTTATATAATACGCAGCAATGTCATACTTCTAATGCCAAAGCCAGTATCGTATTGGACGTAATAAGCGCCCAGGGCGCTCTCAAAATTAGAAATAGGGGGCTCTTATTAGAATATTATTTTGTTGAAAAAAAGTTTCCGTGGTTTATGATGACAGCCTAAAATGTTTATGTACAAAAGATAAATTTTTCCAGAATTTAATTGCCCATAATTAAGGGTGCATATAACACATGAGTGGGTATTATACGCGAATAAATAAGTATTGTGTACATTGATCAATCGGAAAGGGTGCTAATTGGGATTGTTCACGAGCCAATATATTAGCAAATATCGCGGTGGGCGCTTATTACGTCGAAAACCGTATTCGTTTTTTCCACATTTTTTACTGTAGTTTTTTCTTTGTTTATTCATGTTCTGAGTATTTCTTGTTATAGAGGCTGGTGTATCCTGTAATGATAGTGATGTGTTTCATTGAAAATATGTTTTTATATAAAATCATTTTGGGCTTAAAAAAATAAAAGAATTGGCTCTCAGACAATGCTTTTTGAAAATATAGTACGAGCGGGCGGAGTCTTCTTTTTTTCCGTAGTACATACTACCAGTATGTAACCAAATAAACAGCTGTGTATCCAAATAAACAATGTGTACAATCAACCTGGGAAAGGGCCTCCTTACATAAATGTATTCCTTGGTGAGTAAAATACTGGAATACAGTATTTTACTACGGTTGGACCTTGAATATTAAAGGATTTTTCAAAACAATTTCCAAATACAAATAATATTGAAACATGTGGCGAACTTTATGATGATGCGGGTGGTGCCTGAGAACCAAGACTATTTCTTTTTAGCACTTTGTGGTTTTTTTACCATTGTCTTTTAAAGACATTTATCACCAATAAATTTCAATATAATTTATCCTTTTGTCTAAGACTTTCCTGTGAAAAGTCCATTTGTTGCCTCATATACTCTAAATCGTAAAATTAACGCGAGTGTGAATTAAATGCGAAAAATTTGAGTGGTCTGCTCGCATTAATAAACATCGCATTTATATAAAAAATAAGACATTTTGGTTAGCAGAAATACCAACTTAGACATACGCTAAAAACAAACAACTATGTATTCCACATCACTGTTTATTGAGCAGCACTTGTAACAAGTATATAAACAATGTCATTCAAGCACTCATTACATCCTGTGAATTGTCAGCGCTGGGGCCAAGACAAGAGTTCTACTCACTAATGTCATGATTGTGAATACTAGTACTATTTAGTCACGTTATTTATACCCCAAAATTGGAGGCAAAAGATTTAACTTGAGTTGGTTCAGTTTTATTGTATTACCTGTGAACTTCCTTAATGCCAGTTTACAGAATAAACACAAAAAGTATATGTTGTTCTTAGGAAAACACTATTTATCATATAATGGGTAGGTTTCTCGGCAGATAAAGCCAACGGATAAAAACGATCTCCGTTGGGGTCATATGCGGATAGAGATGCAAATATCAAAGGTCAAGTAGGGACTACTTTCACTGTTTATAAACAAACATGGCGTCGCCCTCGTCATTCGGCAATCGAGTTAGAATTAACCATCGGGAATCTGGATAAACTACAGGGATAATTGCTATCATTATCAAAAGAACAGTCTAATATACTGAAAATCAGTGTCTAACTGTGACGTAGCTAAGGCATTTTATAAGTTTTGGCAACTTTGGAGATATAAATTTCGAAACAATTTTGCGAGGGCACAAGGCCTAGCCAAGCGGGATCAGTAGCCATGACTGGTAGACCTCTGCGGCTTGAAACCTTCTCCACAAATTGAAATAGTTGGATTTGGCCGAAATATGTTTGAATTGTTACCTTGTTTCGTTTTGTCGCTCTGTGTACATCTGACTACACTTCTTAACGTTATGACAGGACAGACCGACTGTCAACAACATCTGACCATGGCCGTGACGTCTCATAGACTAGGGTTAGAGTAGCTACCCTTTGACAAAGGGCAGTTACTCTAGCGGACAGACCGATGGATTGCCGCGAAAGGCAATTAAAAACAATTGTTGTTTTGCGTATATGTTGCTTCGCCACTGTATAAGAAACAGATTTCAGTTGGAACTATATTGGCTACTGTCACTGTCCGACTGACACATCACTTACCCTGTGACGTAATAAATATTAATGCGCGCATTCCAGGAAAACTCGCAATGTTTCGGTAATGTTTGTGAGAGGGAAAGCGATTT